GGGGGGTGGGTGGAGGGAGAGAGAGAGAGAGTTGCTTTGCTCCAGTTGTGACGATTTGAATCCCAGTTCCGAGCTCTCGGCAAAGGCTTGCTGGGATACCTCATTCCCAGTCCTGTGCAAAGGTCTGTGATTGGGGATGTGGTGTGCTCAGCGGGCAGGGCCCCTCCCCTGGGCTGGATCCGCCTCTCTTATCCCCCCGATAAATTACTAGTGTCCTCACTAAATTCCTCGGCTTTCTCTCTCTCTCTCTCTCCCCCTCTCTCACACACGCTCACTCCCTCCCTCAAACACGGGCAAAGCGGGGTTGGGGGGCGGGAGGGCAGGGATCCTCTCTGGACTGGTATCGCGCCATAGTGCTGGAGGGGGAGGGAAGGGGAGGAAAATACTGGCGCCCCTTCTCTCCTCCGCCGCCTTGAAGTAGACTTGAGGCGCTGCCCTTCCTCCCCCCCCCTCCCCCTTTCCCACTGGTCCTTTGGCATCTTCCAGACCATGTCCACTGGGTCCCTCAGTGATGTGGAAGATCTGCAGGAGGTGGAGATGCTGGAGTGCGATGGCCTGAAAATGGATACTAACAAAGAGTTTGGGGCGTCCACCGAGAGCAACGAGGAGGGATCCAATGGCGAGAATGGCTCCCCTCAGAAGGGGAGAGGGGCCTCGGGCAAGAGGAAAAAGGCTCCCCCCAAGAAGAGCCCTTTAAATGGAGTGAGCCAGGAGGGAAAGCAGGTCCAGAGAAACGCTGCCAACGCCAGGGAGAGGGCGAGGATGAGGGTCCTTAGCAAAGCCTTCTCCAGGCTTAAGACCACCCTGCCCTGGGTGCCCCCAGACACCAAGCTTTCCAAACTGGACACCTTGAGGCTGGCCTCTAGCTACATCGCTCACCTGAGGCAGATCCTGGCCAATGACAAGTACGAGAACGGCTACATCCACCCAGTCAACCTGGTAAGTCACGGCCCGCCGGGGCCAGGCACTCTGCGTGCGTGTGCATGGCGAGAGGCAGGCGAAGAGCTGGGATGGGGCGTATGCGGGGAGAAACCTTCCTTGTACTTCTCACAGAGAGTCTGGTGCCAGCGGGGTGGCAAGGGGTGCTGTGCCAGGGGACAGGCTCCCAGCTGTCCTCCCGCCCTGTGCCCCAGGAGCTGAGCGTCCCGGGCCCCCATCCGCTGCTCCTGGCAATCCCCTCCAGGGGACAGGCAGGGGCCACGCTGGCCACAGATAGGCAGGGACACGCTTTACTGCCCCAGAAATGCCTGAGAAACCTCAGCAAGTTGATGGCAGCTTTTTACCTGCAAGCGGGCAGGTATAGGAATTTGGGTAGAGAAAGGTATGTTGTAGGAAGGACCCAAGCCAAGGACCCAGGTTTTACTCTTATCCCTCCGCTCTATCCTAACATTTCCTGCCATAATAATCCTCAAGCCCTAGATTTTTAAAGACAGAGCTCTTGGGGCTCTGCACTCAGCCGCTCAGATTTGCTGGGTCCAGGATGTTTCTCCTATCTGTGTAAACTGGCAAAGGAGAAATAAATACCAGTGCAGACTCCCCAAGGCGGGTGTCTGCCCCAGGCACACTCCACAAAGCCTCCCTGGGCTGTACGGTGTACCTCCTGCTGCTCCCACCACCCACAGAAAGTTTTCCTGAGCAGCCCAGGGTCTCCCTGCCATACCCGGCCACCAGGAACATCCAGTTTCCAGCTCTCAAAATATGTGCAACTGATGCAAACCGTGGGTGGGCAAGATCTGCCGGGGCTCTTTTTAGACATACAGCCTTTACGTTGCCCACACGTGTGGACCCCGCCAGATAAGGGGTGGCAGAGGGGATCTGGGGATGTTTCTCCGGGGTCTGGCTCTGCCTTTTGAGCTCTGGACTCCGGGGGAAAGTACATTACCCGCTGTGTCATCTGATAAGGGCCTGGGAGATATTTTTTTTGGCTAAAACCAAAGTCCTCAAAAAAATAAAGTAAAACAAAACCA